CCAAGCCACTGCTGGAGCCCACTTCAATGAGCAGGCTGGTGGGCATGCTCTGCCACAAGGAATCCAGCAGGGACCCTGCTGCACCCACCCTGGACCTGCTTGGGGCATCCTGCCAATTTCTTGGGTTCAAAGCATGGCATTGAGCTGCGTTACGTGCATCTCGGGTGACTGAGGGCAAATAAGCCAGGGGAGGGAAATGTCAATTGTTTCCATGGGGCCTCTGACATTCATATATATGCCCAGAGGCTATCTACACCTCTCTCTCCTCCCTGGGAAGGTCACTGGGATATGCAGAGAGGCAGATCCCTAATGTGGACAGGGAAACCACAGGGCACAGTGGGGCTGGCACCTCCCTGGAACCAGGACTGTGGGAGCTTCAGGCAGGAGCAGGGCAGCCAAGGAGCACCAGGGCAGTGCCAACCCTGGGCATTGGACACCGCCCTTCAGATCAGCCAAGGCCAGGACATGGGCCTGGGGTGCGTTTGACTTGGTGGGGCCATGGCTAGACAGGGCAGGGCTGTTGGGGAGCTGGAGGCTGCCCCTGCTGCGGCATCGCTGGGGCAGGGGTTGATGGCCCTGGAGAGCTGATGTGTGGCCCTGGGCAGGGTCGGAGGAGCCCCAGGGGTGGACAAGGGGCACTCAGGGCTGTTGGTGCCTTCATGGCCCTGACATGACCTTCCTCTCCTAACAGGCTTCAGGGAGCCTTCTGTAAAACTAAGGAGCAAAGTATGGGATTTTTCATACAGAAAGCACCAATATAACAATTTGTCACCTTGCTTTTCATCATCCCTCTTTTCAGGTGATTTATAAGTACACTGCACAACACAGATTGCCATTGGAGTCCCACTGGCAACACCCTGCTCCTGTGAGACATGTCATCCCACCCATTTGGCTCCTGCCCTTTAACCAGTTACATTTCTGCAAGAGGACCTGAGCATTTGTTCTCACTGCCTAACTTCTCTAGGAGGCATTCCAGAGACTCCTGAAAAAGCTTCTTGAAAATCCAGGTGCACCTGGGTTACCATTACCCACCTGTTCACTCCATCAGTGACCCCCAGGAGATTTGTGAATCACAGCTGCTCTCAGGCTGCTGTTGACATATTACAGTTGTGTTATGTCATATTATAGTTTCTCTCGAGGCACCTAATGAAGACAGTCTTTGTAAATCTCTGAATCCTCCTACAGCCTTTTTTAAAATCTGTTCTTAGATTGTCACTGCCTGTTCCCCTGGAATTGAGGCCAGCATGAGAAATGAGTTGAACAAGGCAGCTACTGTGCATCTGAGCTCCTCTACAAGATGAGGGCAAACCTCATCCACTCCTGGCGTTCTGTTGTTGCTGATTTTGCCAGTTTACTCCAAACTTTTCTACTGACATTTCAGTTTAGCAATTAATTACTCAGGTTGATGTATTACTAAACAGACACCTATTGTGAGGTATTCTGCTGTAGGAGCTAATGCAAGCTTCATTTCTACTTTCGGCAAGGCCTGCACTTCCCCACATCCCCACAAATCTCCAGTAGGCTACCAGTGTAAGGAATGTTTGCAAGAAGCTTCATTAATAACTCTACACCTTCAGCAAGCTGCAGATTGGCTTTGGCTTGCCTTTCTGTGTTTAACTTGATAGAATTCACATCCTTTGCTGTTTTCCTCATTTGGGCTTTCTTGTACTTTCTGATGCCTTTTCTTTACTTCTAATAGTCTCTTTTGCAGTTTACTTCTACAGATTATTTTACGGTCCAGCCAATGATGTGAACAAAAGATTTCTAATGCTCAGGCAATTGTTCTGATCGTTCAACTGTAGGTTATTCTCATTTGGGACAATCTGACAGCAATTTGGAGCAGAAACAGTATGGATGTGTCTGGGGAGGGTGTGGGTGTATGTGGTGGGAGTGACAACCCTGTTTCCTGCAAAATCTACTGCGCAGAATAATCTTTCATGTTACCTGTGGGAACTTTTGGTTTATCAGCACAGCTATCCGCCTAAATGAGATTTTGCTTTCCATGACTTGGTTATTCCCAGCTAGGTAGTGCCAGTTAACTAGAGAGCTCCCTGAGTGTTTGGAAAAGACCCATATAATGTGTAAGTGTCCCCTTTTTCCTATCTTACTGAAGCCTGTGATTGAATCAAACTCCTTTCCTCATGTCAGAAATATCCAGATAGGTCTTTGAAAAGTATGAATTAGTGGTAAGAACGGAAATTAAAAACTGACACCTTGGATATGAACAAAGGATCAATGAAAAGCAAGACTCAGGAGCAGAAAGCTCTCCTCTCTTGGGAACATGAACTGAATCTGTGATGCAAACACATTTTTATAAAAAGGAAATTGTCCAACAGGGCAGCCACAATTAATCCAGATTTCATGCCAGTTCACTATTTTCTCATTATATTTCACTGTCTATTAAGACTGTATTTTTAAGATGCACTCTGAACTTCACATTAAATAGCCCTGCTGCTCAAAAAGCCATAACTCATTTACTAACAGCCTTTGTTGCTGTGCTTCAATAATGTAATCATTTTCTCTGTGTCCCAACCATATGATTATTCCTGTTGTGTAGGAAACTTAAGTCCAAGGAATGTCAGATCAAATATAAAAGCCTAGTGCTTACCCATAGTTTTTATTCAATTAAGTAGCTATTACAGAGCTCATGCTATTTCAAATTACATAATGCAGAATGCAGACACAGTCCTTTATTACAGATATACGTTTATCTAAACAAAATGGCACCAACACAATTCAGACCCATTACAATTTTTAAATTATTATGCTAAGGTGATTATTATATGGTAAGCAGTGTCTATGAGAGACAAGTGGGGAATCTGTGTCCTCCAGAAACCACACTTTGGGCACAGCGGCAGTATTATCTGAGATTTATTTGTGAAATTTCTAAATGCAAAGAAATAGTGCTGCTAAAATATACTCCTAGAGTGAAAGCACTGAGCTGCAGCTCAGAGAACAGTGTCATCACAGGCGATGTGTGGTAAGTCATGCATAGGGCTGGGACATAACACAGACAGAGGTGCCTAAGGCAGGGTCTGTGCAGCATTCAGATGTTTACACCAGAACTAAGATCTATAAAGCCCTGTTCATTCTCACCTAGTTGTGCTGTGCTTATTAAGCACCTCGCATGTTATCTCTGCACATGCCTTCTAGATCGCCCACAGGATCCATAAGGCTTCCTCTGCTCAGCATCTCCGAGGGCTCCGCCTAACCAGTACAGTGTTAGAGCTCCTACCACCCATTCCATCAGGAATTGGCTGCCAATTCCTGATCAGGTTTGGGGTCCTAACTAAATTGCTGCCAAGCACCGTAAGTGCCTTAACCTGCATAAGGCTGAGGGCCTTCCCTTTGCCGTTGCACAGCCTGCCCTCCAGGCACAGCTCTGCACCCCTTCAGCATTGCTGCAATGGCAGGCTCTCACCGAAAATGATTGCCAGCAGCGCGAGATCCTTCCTGTCCCTCTGTTCCTACCTCTTGGTTGTAGCTGTCCATTTAAGTGAGGGGCCTGGCGAGATATACGTCCTCTGCCCTGGTGATCAGAATACTCCTGTGGGAGGTGGAAGAGGAAGAAGTGAAACCCTCTAGGCAGAGCTGGGAATTACACCTGAATGTCTCACACCTGAAGATGTCCCAACTCCAGGCTGTTCAGTTAAAGGCAGGCAGGCTGTCACCACTCAGCATGCCTGCCGCCGTCAGCCTGGAGGTGAGGCTCACGCTGCCTTCCTGGAGATCCACTGCAATCAGCAGTCCTTCAGAAAACACTCGGTCTCTGATTTCTCCAGGGACAAGGATGCCTACTGGAACCCCTAAATCTGCTGATGAAGCCAACAAGAGGATAAAATTTTTTTTACACATCTCTGGATAGTGCATGTCCCACTTGCTCAATCTAAATAGCTCCTTTTTCTGAGTACAAGGCACTTGTTCAAATCTTTTTTGAACCTTCCTAGTGCACTATATTGGCAGCCAATTCCTGATCAGGTCTGAAGCCAGGCAAGATTCTTGCCTAGATCCAGCCTGAAATGGGTCTGGTACTGTTTTACCACAGGGAAAAAATAGAAATACGTCCAATTTAAGACAGACATTTTTGCAGCTGCCTTTTGTTAATCAAAAACTGGGCTAATTCAGATAAAGTTGAATACAGAACAGTGCAAATAGAGACAGGGAGTCTGTTATGATTTACTCATCAAATACCAAAAATAACATGAAAAGAAGGAGATGGCACAGAAATAGATACCGATTATGTAGAGAATGAAAAGCTGCATGAAAAAGAGAGTTTAGAGTGTCAGTTTCTATTTTTACAAATAAATCCCCCCCAACACCTTCCAAAGGTTTCTGTATTTTGTGTCCTTTTTTTTTTCTTCCCATAACAGTCAATGTGGTCCAAACTGGGTAATTCTGAACAGTATCATGCAAAGAGGAAGGACAGGGACAATTTCCCCACTTAAGCCACTTTATTGCCACAGTTGCAAGACAAAAAGAAACTGCTCACTGCTTGCTATCCCTCTTCCCCTTATGCCAGCTTCTGTCTGCAACTTTTTATTTCCAGCTCATTACAAGAAAGTAGTTTTATTGTCACATTTGGTTGGCAGCTGGAATTCTCCAAATGAGCTAAGCAGGGCTGAGGCGCATGCTCTCATCCCTCAGCCAAAACCCTGTAACATACGGTGCTGTTACATCTCCAAGCTTTACATGAAGAGGAAAACAGGCATCTGGGCTGGGTTTATTTGTAATGCTGTGGTTGCTGGATTAATATGAAAAGACAGATGAAGGCAGACACTTTAATTACTTCACCCTAACTTTTTATTACAACATCAAGTAAAATGGTGAGTTACAGAGGATAATGGGCGTGAAACATCTGGGATGAAGTCACACACAAGCTCATGGTTTGTTATCTGCCGATAGGGTTTTAAATATTGGTAATTTCTGTACATGCATCTTTGTGTTATATCTTATTTTCTTGATAAATCATTTCAGGATTACTTTAAGCTGTGAGGTAGCTACTAAGACTGGGACCCCGCTTTTTTCTTCTGGAATTTTCTGAACTGGGACTGTATCGCCACAGCCGCCCGCTCTGTCTCTGGCGCGTCCATGTCTATGTCAAATTCTTCTTGAACCTTCTTCTGCCCATCTGCCCAAAGAAAACAAAACAAAACATCAGCAGCTTTTTCAAACAGTGATAGTCTCTAGACAGCACAGGTGGAAAACCTTGCCCCTCTTTCCTTCACAGACACAGCCATGATCATGGGGAAACACATTCAGACAAAAATGTGGGACCAGTTTCTGCAAACACAGCTGACTAAATCCCCCACCCCCTCCCAACAGCAGAGCCTGTAACAGCCCATTGGTAGCTGGGCACTGAGGAGGGACATCCAAATGGTCCTCAGCAGTCACCAAGCATCACCCTGATGTCTGAGCAAGTCCTCTCCTCCCAGGGAGCTAACAGTGAGGGACAGAGGGACCCTTCTGTGCCCCCAGCAGGTAGAAGTTACTCATATCTTCATGTTTACTCTAAAACAAAGGCACTTTAAAATATTTTGAAGTAGAGATTGAGAACCTGTTCCTGTCTCACATCCTGCATTAGAGGAAGAGAGAATACTTCCTGAGGCAAATTTCCATCCTTTATATTTGTTTCCTGCCTCATCCCTTTCAACACATACAGCTCTTCCGCTTTGAATCATTTATGTTCAATCTCCCAGACACACTGCTGCTTCCCTCACTTCTCTGTTGTTGCCTTTCTCTTTCAGTCCTTGGCTCTTTGCCTTCCTTTATTCCCAGCCCTCAGCTTTTGGTTCAACTGCATTCGGCCTCCACGTGAACAACCCAGCTGATATCGCTGAATTTTGTTTCATCCACCTACGTGTTAAAAATGCAGCCCTCATAAAACTCCTGCCCTCATCGCAAAGATAACCCCAATCTGCCTGGACTAACAAAGTGAGAACACACATTCACTCCGCTAACCTTGTCAGGAGTTTCTCTCCTCTGTAAACTTGTTTGTTAAACTCACTTATGTAATTGTTGTATGCCAGTCCTCCAATGCACATCATGCCAGGAGACTGCAGACAGCTCTACTTGAAACAACTGTGGGAATTCACCCATTGTGAACTACTTTGCTTTTTATTCTTGAGATTAATACCTCTGGGATGCTTATCCCCAAGTACTGCTAATGCAAATCAAGGGAAACTCTTTCAATGTATTATTAAAATGAAATTTATTCCCCCCTCTATCCCTCCTTCCTGCTAGAAAACAGGGATGCCATTTCATGATTTTAGCCTGAGTATTGCAGTATTTTTGGCCTTTACTTCTTATCCTTATTCAGAACTCAATTTTTCATGACCAGAATCCACTCTAAACTGGGCAAACTTTTAAAGGGAAGGTTTTGGCATATTCCATACCGATTCTAATTTAACTACACTAACCAAATAAATGCAGCTATGTTAATGTAAAAAAAGTTCCCTTAATACTTTGTCTTATTACAAAGAGTATTTCAGAGGAAAGAAGAGAATGTAAGAAGAAAGAGAAAGTCTGGAAAAGAAGAATAGCTTGAGAGTTTACCATAACTTTGATTACACGATATGATGAAAAGTGATATTATCAAACCTGAGATTTTATGAAAAAAAGTGAATTTTAGTAATATTACACCACATTTCCACAGCCATTAAATCCAAGAATCCACATGGTTTGTGTACCTATTCAAAGAATACAACCATCTTAAGTACAGAAATACAATTATTGCATTATTTTTCATGGGAAAAGGGAGGTAAAGGTCAGCAGTGACCTCCTTATGCTCACCAGCTGTTGACACAGCCAAGGAGCTCCCATTAAAGCTGTGTTATATACTGAAACTTAGTGTAGCTTGTTAAAGAAACAGAAATGTCTGTACCAGTTCCTAAACTAACAACTACAACACAAAAACACTTTGTGAAAATTTTCATGTTGCCAGATAGCATCTCCTCCCCGTTTCTGTCTACACTCCAGAGTAACAGAGATATTTTTTTAATATAAATTTCAAAAGGATATATCATTTACATAATGACTTAGTACCTTTTTTTGTGGTATATTGTGGGGTTGGTTTTGATTTGGTATTTATGGGTTAAAGGGAACTAAGACAAGAAATCACAATATTTGGAAATAAGCCATATTTTTTCCTGTAAAAAAATAAGACTTTTCAGTCAGAACATACAAATCTAGGTAATAATTTGAAATTTTTGAGCGCATTTTTGAGCTAGCTCTAACAGAAATCCCTTTGTGACATCAGTAATAAGATTCTGGTTTTTTTGTCCATATGTCAGAATCTCTCCTTTATTAATAGCCCCCTATTAACTTACTCTAAAGAAAAGAATATTACTTATAGAGAAATAGTCTTATTTCTTATGGAGAAATATTTTATCTAAATATTTATACTAGTAATGTAGTAAGTATTTAATTAACTTTGACACTGATGAGACTAATGTATTCTTCTTGTTTGAAGATTTTCATTTTTGTTGTAACATTCTCAGTCTTGGATTCCTCCCTAGCCACTCACTGGACACAGCTGTCAGTCTTAACAGTAGAAAACAAAAGTGCGGTTTATGCATCAATTTTAGCTTTTCAGTATATAAATTACTGTCCCTTGGAAATGTCAATAGGGAAAGCTAGATGGAGGGATGAGTAGAAGACAATTGGTTTCATACCTCTTGATGAAATCTGGCTTGTAAGATTCATTTCCTACCACAGCCAAGTCTCAGCGGTATGTTAACTTGCAGTAATGACTCAGCAATCTCACATTAAGATTTACAGACCTTAAAAACCTCAGCATTTAGTATACTTTTTCCTCTAGAATTTCCAGGACAGTTAGTAATTGCTTTATGTGAATCATGATTACTGCCTTAAAATCAACTGTACTACAACAATCTACCATACCTGAAGATCTACAGTAACTTACCATATTTTAAGACCTATTTGACTTCCTTTTCTTTTTTGATCCATTCTTGTCGAAATCAAAACTAAAATTCCTTATGAATTCTTTTTCTGTTTTTATTTTTTTCCAATCATTAAGGAGAAATGGTAGGATGAGAAGCTTTCAGCCATGATTTTAACTTGTAGATTAAGAAATTGGAAGTGTTCAAAAGGGCCAAGACATTTATATGGTCATGAAGAAATTTATTGTTAGCTTACAGATGGTACAGAAGTACATATAGAATGATTACACATATTTGCATAACGTACATTATAATAAAACATGTATATAATCTGTATCTGATGTATATGATATACCTGTGTTTTCTTTCTCCCTATGCTCATCTTTGTCTTTCTCTTTATAAATATATATGTATGGTATATCTGCATTTGACTATGTAGAGAATATCTATGAACACACATAGAAATACACAGACATTTTCTTAAAGAGTTTTAAGTCCTGTGTGAAACTGGAAAGAGCTGGAAAAGGTATTTCCTAAATTTTGGGAGTGGATTTTCTTGGAGTTCTCCCCAAAACATTTTCCACTGATGGCTGTCACAACACAGACACTTTAACAGATGGATTGTCAGTCTGGAGAGAGAATGAAGTGGTGTGCCGTCTTTGGCTTTGTCTATGCTAAAAGAAAAAGACTCTAGCTTTTGCCTTGAGTTGCTTTGCTAAAAGCAGCCTAATGATTTAAATTATACTGCTTCAGTTTTACTAATCAGAGTTAAGAACATGAATTGACCTACCTAATCACGGTGAAAACCCAGCCTGTGCTTGGGACCTGCACAGACCAGAGATGACCTCACTGCACCAATATGAGTGACTGAAAGCCTTTTTGCACCCTTTGTACTGTATGTATATACACCTATGCCACACTAGCTTTTATCAATCAGTAGCTGTTCATGAACCTTGAACACATAGGCTCAAGGTATAAGCGCTCAAGTCATAAAATTTATGCAGAGAACTGAAAGCAAGCCCATAGAATTGCCCCTCTTTCAGCCATTGCCTCCCACCCATAGCTTTCCTCACAAGGGATCACTTGCTTGGAAGCAGTCTGAAAACTCAGGGAATTTTTGTTCTCAGCAGGCTAGAGCATAAACTCTTGCACAGGCTTTACTCTTGAACTTGCTTTTATCACTCCTACCGGTGGAGGTCAACCATTCTAACAAACCCCCTTTTTCTGAGCTACTTTTATGTAGCAATAAAGGTAGATCTGGATTCCTTCCCCACTTCCAGTCACACACACTTTTGTTGGTATTTACACTTTCTAAACTATGTGCAGATTTCTTCCACGTGGATATTTGAGGATCCCTGGTCTACTTCCACAGGCCCACATGAGGAAACAAGGAAAAACAAGAGTGTTGTCTGTAGACTTCAACTCACAAGCTATTTGTGATTTTGAGGGATTCAGAAATAAAAAAAAAAATTGATAAGCACTGGCCTGCACTTTCTGAAGAGATCTGGCTTCATTAGCACCATGAAAAATAAAACCCCTCACCTTTGTCACTACACTCAGCTATTTCAAGGCTTTTCCTGAAGGATTTCTTCATATTTAGTCCAAATTCCTTCTCCCAGATAATGACTCCCGCTCTTCTTCTGAACATGCCATGACAAGGCAGGGGAGTCAGTACATGTACCTGCTGGGTTCTGATGACCGCCAACAGGGGAGGTGAACAGAACAATCCCACACTAACAGTCATAGGCTGGCCATAACACAAGTCGAGTACCTGATGAGTTTTTCAAAATCATTTGTAAGTGCGGACTGACTCTGGCCATGTGTCAATTCAGGCAAATCCGAGATGTGGTGGAACAAACTCCTGGGAGCACAACATCAACTGCTTGATGAGTCCCACCATCATAGAGAGCACCCAGTCTGGCACTACAGACAACTTTGCAGGACTAAAGACTGAGACAACTTGCAGGGTTCAGGTTTTACTTCAGTATATGCAATAGTCATCCTAGCAGGATAGCCTGAAACTGCATCTAATTAGCTGTTTTCCAAATCTAGCATTCTGAAAGCTCATTCCACATCGTTGCAATTGAAAAAGATCTATTTATTCCATTTCCAGATGAAACATTGGAATGTTGTCTCTGTAATCTGTTACAGCGCCTCATAAACCATTGCAAAGCCTGGATGGATAACGAAACTGCCTGTAACAAGGAAAGCAATCAAGTCTTACACACAAATCTACCCAGCAAACTCTGAAGAATTGTGGTACAAGTGTAATTATTCACAAATATGCCTTCAGCTATTTCCTTCATTTACTTTTCAACTATAAAGTACAATGAATTGTGACAACACTGGAAAAAGAAAACACTGCTTATTCCATACAGGCCAAAACCCTAAAGCAGTCCTTTGTGACCTTTGAACAATTGCTAAACAGAACAGTCTTTCTGAAAAGTGTTCATGGAAGGGCAAAAGCTGGTGGGATGGACTTGGTGGAAAAGACGACTCACTCTTTATTCTCAGAATTTCTCCATCCTCCAGATGAAATAGAGTTTGCTTGTCACCTTCTGGAAAAACATTCAGCATGAAAAATTGCACGGGCTGGAGACTCTAAATGGCATTTCACGTCTTAAGTGCTATCCTCCTCCCCTGCTCACCCAGCCCACGTGTAACAGGAATTACAGAACTATACTGAAGATGGAATATACTCATAAAAATACTGCATTTTTCAGGGGCTAAAGTGCAGCATTTGGAAAAGGACTAAATAAAGTGTGGGACAGAATCACAGTGCCCCATAGCATGCCAGAAGTGGCATCTTGCCTCTGGCAGGATCATTACCTCCCACTGTTCAGATTATTCAAGCTGTGACAGTCTTTATGCTACTCTGATCCCAAGCTATTACACCAGTCTGTCCAGTGAGGCAGAACAGTCCCTAATTAAAGAGGACCAAAATGGGCAGGAATCTCACGGATATTGACATTCATGTGGAGCATTATCTTTATGTGATGGGAAGAATCATTTTATCTGACTAGACTCCACAAAGCAACCAGTGAGCTAGAGAAAACATATGGGTGCTTAGATGTATGGAGACCAGATTTAACTCCTTACAAGTACCAGTTTTGAAAATCAAGAGTTGATGAGGCCATACTTCT